ATCACCGAATATTTCATATTTCGTGAAGTTGGGTAAATTTAAAATGCACGTATCTACTATGTGTTAAGCTGAGTATGAATGAGAACCTTCGAGAAATTTTAAGGTAGAATGTTTTTCTTGTTTATGATGAGGAATCTTTTATTTCCAAATGCAAATTCGCCTCCTGCTAACCACAAATTCAGCTGCGTTTGTGGTGGAGCGAGTTATATTAGCCGGTGCACTAGGAACTTGATTTTTCGTGCTCGTGAGCATTTACCAGTGTGGCTAAGTAAAGGTATGGTAAAAACCATCAACAGTTCGATATTAGAACACGTGGTCCAAATCGGCCACAAAGCCAGCATTGACGAATCCTTTTCTATCATCTACCGGGTATCAAATAAATTGCCAAAAACATCGAGGTACCGCATAATCCAAACAGCAGAGGCTATTGCAATTCGCCTGAAACAGGCGGTGCTATGTGTACAGAAGAAGGAAGTCCAGCCACTACTACTGCTCTGACCGGCCTTCAGTGGAGACTATAAATTTATGAATTTGCATTGTTATTTTTCCAAATTTATCTGTCTGATATTCAGTGTGTATTGTTATGTTGATGCTATAGAACTGTAATCCATTGATATTATTATTATTGATTCGATGTTATTTGAACAACATTAATGTTGTTGTTAATAACACTAATTCATTCACTATTATGTATAATACAACTGTAGAACCTGATGAAGGAGAAGTTATCGAAAAGAATATTCTTTGTTCAATAACCATTGTTTTGAAGAAAATTTTAATGGGTATTTTTAATCAGTTAAAGCTAGAATACATAATCCCATATTTACTTCTGTGATTTGGGGAACTATTTCGCGCTAATCCTGATATCCGGTTGGTTACACATCTAGTGTTTGAGATGATATTCTTCCTCACAGTATCAGTTGGATTCTTCTTTCTGAAAAATGCAGTATTTTCTACTGAGAATTATTTAATCTTTGTTTAAAACATCTAAATAAAACTATTAATCGGTAGGATATCATTTGAACCGGTATTGTTCAAACCAAATCAAATTTTTAATAATCTGCTATGCTTTTCCTCCATTTCCTTCAAAAAATTTATAACGTTGAGTGGGTTGAAACACATTCATGGATGGGAAATTAGGTAGTCCAGTTATTCAAACTGGCCACTTGGGTATCCATTTTATTTCGTTGGTTCTCATCAGCTGCATGCAACCTGTAATCTTTAATAAATAAAAGTCAGCGTAAAATTTAACATACTTTTGTTATCAACAAGCATATTATAAAAGTGTCATGATGAGGTAAAACATCAGCGTGGCAAGGTAGCTGAAGTGTTAGTATGTGTATATATATCTTGTTAGAGGGAAGTTTCCAGAAAATCAACTGACAAGAATGCTTTTAGTGTGGTACCGAAAAAATAGTAACAATTACATAGTTAGTTAAGAGAATACCGAAATTCGGTGTGCAAGAGGTCAGCTGAAGAGGTGATGATGTAATATGGTGAGTAGAACTCATAAAGTGAAGAAAAAATGATCACTTGTGGAAGTCAAACAGAAGAAAGGAAGCGACGGGGGGACGCGTTGAAAAGATACCTTAATGTTATGTTAAATTTTACGCTGACTTTTATGTATTACAGATTGTAGGCTGTATGCAGTTGATGAGAACCAACAAAATAAAATGGATCCATTTTATTCTGCACCAGTGTTTGTTCTTTCTTTGCTCAAATTTATAAAAAGAGAATTCTTGTATGAAACATCTGTAGGAAAGGTTAGTATAGTTACCTGGATGATTTCCAAAAAGGGATTTCTCTCGATTAATATTTGTTCTCAAAAGTGAAGACTAAACTATTGATTAATAAATAATAACAGCTCTATCCTTGGCAAAGTGTTTAATGAAATTTACAGAATCCTCAGAGTAATTTACTCCACAATATTTCCTCCTCATCTAGAATTTTCAAGACGAATAGCAATCTGTATCATATTATATGACGAAACAGTGTTTGATCTGAAGTATAGACTAATCCTTTGTGATATTTTTCCTTCGTCTTTGAGAAATACGCAACGGCAAACCAATGGAAAGTGTGCGTACGTACATTTTGCGACTCACGGATGTAATTGAATAATACAGAGGATAAATTTAATTGGTGGATGATGAGTAGCAGTGGAATCCAGGATTTGGGACTCGTCAGCTGGATGTACCTGTATTCCCCAGTGAGTGATGATGTTCCCACTGGGCCTCGAACCCAGTGACTATAGTTTCAAACGTCAAAGTGTTATTCACTAGACCACTTGGGTCAGAAGAGCCACCTCTCGGTCCGATCAATCGACGGGAAACCTAAATAACTGAATTAAATAATTAGTATGACCCATCGCTCAAGAGGTGGCGCTCGTAGCCCAAGTGGTCTAGTGGATAGCGCTTTGGCGTTTGAAACTACGACCACGGGGTTCGAGCCTCTTTGGGAACGTCATCACTCACTGGGGAATGCAGGTACATCCAGTGACGAGTCCCAAATAGGAATAAATGCGCATTGTCCTGGATTACGATGCTGGCCACCATCCACCACTTAAATTCTAGTTACATGCCCAAACATCGTCGAAGCATCTGCACAAGAAGCCGAAATGTCAACTTGAGACTGAGTACTTCGGTCCAATCAGTCGGCAGGAAAACCTAAATAATTGAATTAAATAGTGAATAAAGATTAGAAAAAATATGATAAATTTTGTAGGATAGAATGGAAGTTTAGATAGCCTAGTGGTTCAAGCAGGCCCTCAGTTATGGCTGTATACTGAATGTAGCATGTCAGATTAATTTCTTGTGTATAACAAGGTGCACCAATAATTTCCTGAGGTCTCGGAATAAAATTTCTACGCTTCCATTTAATAAAACTAATTTTCACACATTAAAGGTACACCTATTTATCTTAAGTACATTCAGGCTAGATTCTTTTTCACCTGAAAGTATGAAGGTGTTGTTAGATAGCTTGTGTGAGATAAATTTTAGATGAAAATTTCAAAGTTTGAGGAGAGGCCTTATAAGCTAAGACAAATATTCTGTAAAAGACTTCATGCTAATTATGTCTACTTCATAATGAGAGAGATTTCTTCTTGATAATCCACTTTTTGCCAGAAGGATAAGTTTCGTCGAAATTGAAAAAAAACAGTTTAGGCAGATAGATTCTAATGTTAACTGATTAATGTCAGAATTTGAAATTAAAAGATAATATTTTCAAGAGGTAGCTGGTAGGGATTTGATTCGTTTCACCTTTGACCACGGATAGATGTCATTTAGAGGACCATTTAAAACTAGGAAGAACTGAAGAGCTTTTTCGTCCTAGTTTGCCACCCTGCAGCATTACTCATGACCCATCTCCTTACAAACCAAAACTTGAAAATCACTCTGATATTCACTCATTCCTGACTGAAGGATGAAGTTAACTGGAGTTATAGGGAGAAGTCGTGTCCAGAGAGGTCCATTAAGTCTAGTAAAAGGTTAGTTTCTCGCCTATCACTCTAGCTAGTAGTTGCGCTATGTATTGCCAATCGGCAGAAGTTGTTTCGAGCTCGCCTTGTTAGTAGAAGGTCTTGGATTCTAATCCTGGTATGCGTGTACTTCTGAAGAGTCCTGAAGTCAAGCTAAGCAGCTGTTCAATACTCCCTAATTTTCACTAGTTCTCTAACTGATGTCAATCTATGATCAGAATTTAATCAAGATAGGAAAATGCACGGTCATTAGTGAATTTGAGATTCACTGTAATTTGACTTTATGGTGGGTGTTTATCTCAGTGAGTTATCTTTCGTGAAAAAAATTGTCTGTATCAAAATTCCTTTAGAAGTTAATTCTTTTAAATTAAACTTCGGCATAAAACGTCTTAGATTTAGTAGATTTCTAAAAAAAAATGGCTAAAAATTGTACTTTAGGTTACCGGTGGTGGGTGTTTTGTTCATTTATCAAGTTTATTTAGACACTTAGTGTTTTCCTCTTGAACATTTGCTCACACAAAACAAGATAAATTCAGAATTCATTTGAAATGAATGTTTGTTAAAATATCGGAATATCAAATTTAACATTAGAACACTTAAATAGTTATTTTCAGATATTAAGTAATGCCAGCTGTTTTTGGTTGGACTCATTGGCAAATTGTTTGTTTTTATCCGCAGCAGAAAGTTATCAGGAATTCGTAAACCTGGGTATTTTTTACTTAGGATCCTAAATGACATCACTCGGTGACATAGTTAGTACTTTCGTGTAGAAGTCAATGCGTTGGTCAGATCCCCCTGCCTCTACTTTCCTCATTACCAGCCTACTTGAAAAGTAGCCGTTGATTAATATTCAGGTGTTATTTTGCAGGGATTTGATTAAGTTCGGTTTTGACAGCGAAATTACTTCAGTTAAAGAACCATTGAAAGCCAGCAGGAAATACTCAAGAGTGCTCAGTAGTGCCCCACTACAGGATGGAGCTGAGTGGAGTTCTGGAGGGAAGTCGCGGTCAGCGAAGTCCACCTGGTTGGGCTTGAGGACCCATACCGATGACATTGACTGGAGGTGGCTTAATATATGTCGCAAATGGGTAAGAGTTAGATTTTACGGGCTACTGGATTCCGTTCCAGTGGCTGAATGGTATACGAGCTCGCCTTGTAACCTGAGGGTCCTGGCTTGGATCCCCAGTGGGGCCATAGGTGTACCAAAATTGAGTAACGAAACAGCTGTCCAGTAATCTCTGATCTTCAAATATTCTCTAACTGAAGTCGATTCGTGATCAAAGGTGACAACTATTCAAGTAGTTTGTCCTCTGACCATTAGTTATTTGCTTTTGTTTTACCATGGAGATGTTCACAACGCTGTTATTTATTTTGTAGAATTTCGGAATAATGATATCAAACAATATCTAACAACCCATATGTATGCGTTTACTAGCTGCTCCTATTGATTATGTATATGTAATTAATGCACTGAATTAGTTATATAACAGTACTAATAAATGAAAACTATTCACATTTTTCACAGATCGACCGTGTTTACAACCTACATGTATCAAAATGTCTTCAGAAATTCTCAGTCATATGGATACAAGTATATCGCCTTGTGATGATTTCTATGCATACGCTTGTAATGGTTGGATAAAACAGAATCATATACCACAAGGTCATAATGCCTGGTCTGTAATGCGTAAACTGTCAAAAAATGGTGAATACTTCACTAAAGAATTACTTGGTAAGTCAGAAAAAAAGAAAGAAAACTTTTTTCGACTATTTTATGAGTAGTATTTTTAAGAAAAAATGAAATCTGAGTAACCAAGAAGTTATTTAGTTTAATGGAATTAAGTATTGATCAACCAGGCGGTTGAGTTTCGTTTAAAGCAACCAAAATACCCTCCAACTACATCCCATTTGGTCTAGGGTTCGGTCCTCGGCTGAAGCACTCATATGCCCTGCTTAGCTGGTAATGGGTCGGTTAAAGAGGGAAGGTTGAGAGTAGGGCTATCAACCCCATCCATTAAAAGATAAACACCAGTGCTAGTAGGACTTCAGGGCTCAAGCCTGAAGCCATATGTTCCACTGGGAATGCAAAAGAATAGAATAAATAATAGTAACAATATAAATTCTGTGAATGTTTGCATTGATAATGTATATTTTGAGATTTTGAATGAATATCAATACAGTGTGTGGGGAACAAACACTGAACTCAGGAATAATATAAAACATCAAAAATAAAAGTCGCAATTAGTAGAGATATTTAAACAGTTTATTACAATTATTACTTTAAATGAGTTATCGAAAAGTACAGTTACTCATTATCAGACTAAGTTCATTTCAACTAAATAAACAATTTAATCTAGAGGTACGCTTCACTGTGTATGCTTCGGTGTGATTTTCTCCACTGTGGATGTTGCCATGGGGTTGTTGAATAATCTTTGGATGAGGGTAAGAGATTCCCGTAAATTCTAAAGTAAGCAAACAAGAATTAGTATGTCAAATGAACAGCTGGGGAGAGTGAAAATAAGGAAGCAAGGACAAAGAAGTGTGCATTTTTGCATTCGAATAGGAAGGTTGTTAAAAAAAAGGATGTCGACTGAAAGAAAAAAGGTTTACAAAATGTGTCATTTTTTTCACATTCAACAAAAGGTATATAAAGTCATCGATTTATTATATTATTATGATTATTGTTTCCTTTAGTTTCTAGAGGAACATAGGGCTTCAGCCACACGTCTCCATTGCTTTCGGTTCTCTGCCAACGTTTTCACCTGGCTGTACGTCTGCCCACATGCTTTCATCTCCTCTTCACATGACCTACTACATGTCACCTCACCCTCGCACTGACGACCAACTCGCCGCTTTCCATTCTGGTTCCACTCAAGGGTCTGTATTGTGATGTCACTTGATCGTTTTCTCAGAGTATGGCTAATCCATCTCCATTTCTTCCTGCATATTTGTTGCAAAATCGGATCCTGGCTGGTTCTCCCCCAGAGATTCTTCCCTGCTGTTGATCTTTTCCGGCCATCTGATCTTGAGTAGTATTGAGCAAAGACAGATGTTGATGAAGGTCTGTGGTTTGTTCTAAGTGCCCTTCGTGACGCACTCAGTCTCTAATTCGTATGGTAAGTAGCACTGACTTCACATTGGAGTTGAAAATCCAGATCTTACTTTTCATGCTGAGTAGTGCTGTTGATCTCCACACACACTTGAGAGTGATGAAAGCTTGCCTTGCTTTCCCGATCCGCGCTCTGATATCCTTATCAGTTCCGTACACCTGCAGTTGAAACGATGCTTCCTAGGTAGGTAGGAAGGGTTGCTTCTTTCAGATTTCCCCCATTTATGCTGATTGTTGTCTGTTATTGCTGCTGTTGCTGTTGGCCAGGAATATTCATCACCTCTGTTTTCTCAATGTTCGCCTAAAGTGAAGTTCTATCTTTGATGCTTCTTCTGTCGTCAACTTGTTGCTTTTCACTTGCATATCTTCCAGTTCGTGGGAAATCAGACATATATCATCGGTGAAGTCCAGATCCTCCAAGTTTTTGTGTGGGTCCATTTTATGCCTGTTTCCACTTTGCCCGGCCCGCTGTCTGCCTGTCACATTATCCAGTCTACCGCAATCAGGAAATCATTGGAGATAGTAGGCAGCCTTGTCTTACTCCCGTCTTCACTTCGAAGGATTCTGTGAGTTTCCCGTTGTGGATTACTCGGCATGCAGCGTTGTCGTACAACTGTTGGATGAGATGTATAATTGTTGGCGGCACCCCGTAGTAGCGAAGTAGTTTCCAAATCATCTCTCGACCGACGCTGTTGAAGGCCTTTTCAAAGTCAATGAAGTTGAAGGTGGTAGAGAGCTGACTGTTCAATGATGATCCGTAGTGTTCCGATTTGATTGATGCATGACTTGTTTCTCCTGAATCCAGCCTGTTCCGGTCGAAGCTTTTCATTCAGGGCGTGTTTGATTCTCTCCAGAATGATGCGGTTTAATATTTTGCTTGGGATGGACAGAAGCATAATTCCGTGCCAGTTCTTGCATTGACATAAGTCCCCTTTCTTTGGTAGTTTGAATAAGTAGCCTTTCTTCCAATCCTCGGGTATCTTGCCCTCTTTCCACACCTTCTCCAGTAGTGGTGTCATCAAGTTGGCTAATGTTTCCGGGTCCATTTTCAATGCCTCTGCTTTGATTCTATCTGGTCCTGCTGCTTTTCCAGTTTTTAGCATCTTGATTGCCTTCAGAATTTCTGTTCTTGTCGGAAGGTTGATTTCCGTTGATAGTTCTGCTTCCACTGTTGGTATTATTGAGCACGTTGTAGGTGGATATCGATTTAATAGTCTTTTGAATTGTTCAGCCAAGTATTTCCGCTGCTCCATCGATTTAGGCTCTACTATCGTTACTATTTATTATCTTATTCTTTTTCGTTCCGACTGGAACATAGAGCATCAAGCTAAAGCTTTAAGGTTTCAGTAGCAGTGGTTTTATTTTTACGAAGTGGAGTTGCTAATTTTCTCTCTCTATCGGCCTTACTACCGGCTTAGCGAGGTAAAGGAGTGGGTCGGCTGAGGAAAGAAATTCGGACTACATGCATGTTTGACAACCGTTCAACCTGTAAGCCGATGATGGGCTCTGCTAATGTATCACTAAATACTTAATGCTGCAATCATTAAATAGCTTACTGGTCTAATGTAGTTTACTCATGGTATCGTTAGGGAAGGAAACTGCTTTGTTATTTCACAGTGTATACGCTCCCTTCAGTTACATTGTAAAAGCAGTAATTTCCAGAGGAATCTGTTAGTTCTACAGGATTTCAGTGTCCAAGTAAAGTCCATGTCACAGAAATACATTTAGTATTTCGGTGAAAGACTGTGGTCTTAAATTAAATTCACAATTTCCAATATACACAATTCGAGAAATGAAGTTTCACCGCAGTCATTTGGGAAACCAAATTATTTAGATAACACTGTGTGATCTGCTTGATAACATGAATAATAATTAAGAAAGAAAGCATATTTGCAAGAAAATATGCACTACTGATTGATTGAGGTGAGTAGTTACATACAATTCATATCAACCAGTACCGCTTGGTGCCCAGATCGAAGTGATTTAAACGTTGGATGGTCGTTTCGGGTCCGGTCCAACTTAGCTCAGAGAGACGAATCAGTTGAGACCACCCAATTTCTGTGTAGCTACTTAGGCGAACTGGTGATACCACTAACCAAATTCACAATTTCCAATGTACACAGCTCGAGGGATGAAATACTCACCACAATTTTCGTCTGAGCTGATGCTTATCAACGAATCTATGTGTGACAAATTGTATCCTGATTACCGAAGGTGTTGAGATCATCCAAATTATCCTTAAACTAATCATTTGTTCATTAGTAAACTGTTTTATTTTGAAAATATAAAGATTATTTTTAGATTAGGAATATTTTTCTAAAGCCTAGCCAGAATTCTTGATATTTTCAACTAATTGAAGTTTTGTTTAAGGTGCCTGCACAGAAAACCTGCTTTCTACATCAATGATCAAAATGTGATACTGTCATTTGATACACAACACTTTCGAAACTATCATACCTTTGTTATACACTGTAAGATATACGGATTCATGACGCGCTATGTACTACTAATTAAGAGATATGAGTAGCTGTGTGCCACGAACATCAACCAGTAGTGTTTGCTAGCCAGATACTTCCATGCTTCATCTCTGAAAATATATTCATTCTTGCTTTGAAATGAAAGATAATAACTCCCAGAAAGCGATAGCTGTAATCAATCAGGTAGAATGTAGTTCGATAAGAATCCAACCATTTTTTTAGTAAAATAGATGTGACTTATATGTCGACACATTCCTGCATAAAAATAGGCTGCGACTAACTGAATAATCAACGTAGATATTTCCACAGAAGTGAGGCAGCTAGAGTTTTCATTGTGTTGATGAAAACACACATGTGCAAGTAAGGGTTTAGAGCAAAGAAAGGTATTCGAATTACAATAAACAGAAATATCTGGCAATATGAAAATGAGGATTTTTAAAATTTAGCAGATTCCTAGGGTTGAATATATCCACGTTAGTGAGAACTACTTTGTGCTATGTAATCAACAGACTACAAACATTGCTTATCTCGGACGCTTCATGCAAATAGTCTAGAATTCTCTGTATGGTCAAAACCAACAGTCGAGGACTTTATTTACTGTTGTTATATTTTATTCTAATCCTATCGTTTGTTATTATTCCCTTGGATGCTGAGTGAAACATAGGGCTTCAACAGTATATCTCCATTTTGTCCTGTTCTCAGCAGTCTTCTCTAGCTGGCTCCACCATTGCCCATTAGTCTTCATCCCCCCCTCATTGACACGACCTCCTCCATGTCACACTCGGAGCCACTCCTTACTTGTCATTTCCCATTCGGGTCTCATTCTAGGAACTGGTGTTCTCAACCGTCCCATCAGCGTATGTCCAGTCCATCTACAGATTCTTTTACATAACTGTTAGGCTATGCATTCTTGGTTGGTTTGTTCCCAGAGTTCCTTGCTGCTAATCATTTCCGGACGGTTGTCTGATCTTCATTTTTGAGAGAGGGCATCTGCTGATCAAACTATGAATCCTGTTGGAATTGCTTTTGGTGGCGCACCAGGTGTCTGAAGCATGTGGAAACACAGACTGACTTGACATTACTGTCCGAAATCCGAATTTCTTTTGCTTATGGAGGGTGCATCAGACTTCCAAACTGATTTCAGAGTGATGAAGGTCTGTTTTGTCTCTCTAATTCTCACTTTGATACCCTCACCCGTGTTGATCGCCTGTAGTTAAAACAATGCTTCCGTTTCAGATTTCTCCCATCGATGGTGATTGGTACTTCTATAGTCTTCTTATTGGTCCAAAGTATGCATACATTCTTGCTCCCCACAGTCTGTCGCACGATCTAGTCCACCACAGTCAGGAATATCATCGGTGATACTAGGTTGTCTCACTCCTCTCTTCACTTCAAAGGCGTCTTCGCTGAGTTTTTGTTGTGGATCACTTGGTATGTAGCATTGCCATATATCTATAGAATGAGGTTGGTAAAGGTCCAGTATACTCTGTAGTGTTGAAGCAATTTCCACATTACTTTGTGGTCAATGCTTTTACACAGATTTCGAATTATTTGAGTTTAATAAATTACAGTTCCCTTAGAGAACTATTTTTTAAATAACTTACAACTGACAAGATTATCTCTCACTTTGTGTTTGTTCAAATTCGGATTATCAACACTAATGCCAATTCGATGATTTCTTCTTTATGTGTCAGAAACTTGTCGCGTCACAAAAAGCAGTTCCAATAAGCTAAGATAGACCTTTATCAACAGCTACCTTCTCTGGCTCCATTCTGAAGATCAGATGGCTAGCCAGAAAGCGTCAGCAACAAGAAACTCAGGGAACAAAGCAATAAAGTACGTACTGCTCAACAAATTTGCAGAAGCAAATGGAGATGGATTGGACATACGCTGAGGAGAACTTCGGGGATATCGCGCGTCAGTCCATCCCTCAAGTGGAACCTGAATGGGAAACGACCGGTTGGGCGTATTTATGAGGGTGACATGTAGCAGATTGTGTGAGGAGTAGGTGAGAGCCTATGGTTAATCCTCGGGCGACCATTACGAGGACTGCAGATAGCAGGACAAAGGTGGGACGTGCTACTGAAGGCCATTTTCTACTTGGAATCCAAAGGAATAATAATTTATTTATTCGATGTATAAGGTGTATTTTAGCTTATTTACGATTTAATTGCTTGTATTAAACGACTTTTTTGTACAGTTTAATAGTCAGTTTTCATTTGTTTTTCAAACATACTACAGAGAATTCTTCACATTCAGATAAAAGTCGAGGTTTTCAAATGGCTCAAATTTACTACAGATCTTGTATGAATGAATCTGTTATTGAGAGTCGTGGATTCACACCATTGTATGAGTCTATCCAGAAGATATTCAGAGGTTGGTTATTACTGCCAAAAGGGAATCCAGGCGCCAGAAATGAAGATGATAACAATTTTCTTCCGCAAACATTTGATTTAACAGATATGTACTTACCTTTGTTGAAGTATCTTGGTGCAATACCACTCTGTCGTATTTTAGTTGAACAGGATCATATGAATTCTTCTCGATTTGTTCTCAGTGTAAGTGATAGTAGTTATATGTACTGGTTTTTTTAAATTATTAATCTGATAACATTCCACACTGATGCATTTTATAAACGAAGCAGTTAACTATTTGACTGCAACGACTTCACATGTGATTACATTTGTATTCTTTCATACTTTGCAGTTTTTATGATGAGCCTCTGAAATTTGAAATCAAAATTGTAGTCTAGTTTTTTACAATGTGTGTAATATTCATTCTATTAAGTAATCGTTACTTTTAGAAGGCAAAATGACTGAGTGAGGAAATATTTACTTCAGGTCAAAGGTCAATTAGATCCTCATCTATGGCTCTACGCTAATATATATTGCATTTTTAATGCAATATCCATCAAATGGCGATATGTTCGTTAACAACAATTAGTCAGTATCAACATATCAGGGACCGGGTGATAATTTACCAAGAAAATCATTACAAAACAGTTAAGGGGTACAAGTTGATTGTATAATGAATAATTTTGGAAAAATGAAGAGTAATTAAAGAATAACTGAGTTTTCAGGCTGACTACGTATTGGGGAATTGAAGATGAAGTAGTCAGAAAAAATAAAACAATTTGGACAGCGATAATTTTTAAAAGGCTCAGGGGGAGGAAGAAATAGTCAGTTTTGGTATTCATGTAACGATGGTCAAGGTAAAGAAAGTGACCGTACGAATTTCTTGTGAGCATACACGTTTGGCTTCTTCAGGTGGATTCCAATGGCTTCAGCTCTATGTTGAAGATGAACTTATAAAGCAAAATTAAGATTGATTGGAATGTGGTAAACCACTTTAAATGTTATATTAACACCAACTATATCCTCACTGTCTACAAGGTGTGCTAAAACAGAGTTACGAATAGATCTTGTTTGTCCTCTGCTTGACCATGTAGGATGATGTTCAGAAATACAATGATTTTACTGTTTTCATAATTACATATTACATATTTGGACAGGAAAGAGCAATGAAATTGGTATTCTAGACAAATATTAAGTTCCGAGAGGACAAATACCAACAAAGCAATCACCGGCTAAGCCGCAGCTGTTCAATATCACTTCAAATTTCATTATTTGTGATATTGAATCGATGGAAAAAGCTATTGATTCAAGTACTATCTTAATATTTTCTTCTGAAACATATGGTGATACAATTTCCTTTAATTTTTCAATATTCATCACGAACTGATTTCACTTAGTGAGCCATTAAAAATCAGGAATCACTGGACAGCTGATTCGTCTCAGTTTGATACTCATCAGTAGGATACACACCCACGACGTCACCAGAAGTTGAACTCAGGAGCTTCAGGTTACGAAGAGAGCTCGTTGATCATTCAACCACCAGGAGGAAATACAATAGCCTATGAATTCTGACTTCTACACATTCACCATATGTATTCAGAGCAGTCAATCTTGATCAAACTTCAGAACAATCTCTCTAATAACTGACTATAGGATGAAGTTTCCTGAAATTTTAGCGGAAAATTGTGACCACTGGAATGCAGGAAGATGAGTGTGAGTACGTATACTTGCCGATGACATTGATTGGCAGTGGCTCTGTAATATTCGTGAATCGGCGGAGGTTGGAATTTGTGAAACGTTGGATTCTATTTGAATGGGTGAATGGCTTACTAGCTCGTTTTGTTGTCTGTAGGTAACAAGTTTGTTCTTTTTGGTGGTAGGCCCATGGATGCGTATTGCTCAAGAGTCCCAAACTAGGACGAAATAGCTGGTTATCCAGTACTGCCTGGTCTCCATTGGTTCTCTAAATGACATCAATCCATGTTCAAATCTGAACTCAATCGAATCCCTGCAAAATAACTCAAGAAAAATAACCTGATTCTCTTTAGTGACTGGGTAGAGGAAAAAGTTTACTGGAGTTTTAGTCAGAATTCGTGAGCATTGGAGTCGACCAAGTTGGATGTGAAGTCAAATATTCGCCGCTGACACTGACTGATGGTCGCGCTAAAATCATGAATTGGAAAAAGTTTGAATTCATCAACCATACGATTGAGTCCCACTGATTAAATGGTATACGAGCTTGCCTTGTAACTGCAAGGTCATATGTGACAATCCATGGTGAGTGCGTACTCTGAAGAGTCCCAAATTGGGACAAAACACATATACGGTACTCCTTGCTTGTTTTCAGCGGTTCTCTGCCTGAAATTAATCCTTAGTCAACCCTGAAACGAATCAAATCCCTACAAACTAACTCTTGAATATTAAGAAAAAGTAAGTGGAATAATCAATACTTTTACCATACTGTGGTGTTATATAATTTATCGCTTGAAACATTTTATACTTATTTATCAAACTTTTCTCTCCAACTGGTTTCATCGAATTTGGTTGAATTATTGTTTTTTCTCCTTTTTTTGATAAAGCTTCTAGAAGGATATTTGAGTTTACAACGAGAATATTACGTAAATGATTCTTATCCAACTTACTCAAAAGTAAGTTCTGATTCTTTAATATGCTGTTATGTATATATATACAAGAAAGCCTGAATGTTTTTGACCAACAGAAATTGCAGGGCTGTACAAATCATCGTCTTGTTTCCGAATATCTTCTGTCTCATATTTTGTGTTTATTTTAGGTAGTAGTTAGATTGTTTATTGTGTAGTGTGACAAGTTTTTGGAAAGGAAACATCCATGATCCCTAAGTGATCATTCTGTGACAGTTTTAGACAAGAAACTTGGTAAACGAAAGATTTATTTGGAATTTGGTATCTCTAAATAGCCAAATTATGTCCAGCTTATCCTCAGATCACTACTTGCACAGATCTTCTGTGCTACTTGTGCTACTTCTGGCCTTCATATTGTGTTCCTTTTACATCTCCCATGTATCTCCACACCGCTGTATCATTTGCTTTCTCTGATATGAAATCTATCTCCTGCTATTTGATGTTTTTATGCCGATGAACGTCTTTTTATATACTACTGATAAATCTTATCAGTAGCATACACCGCAATTCCAATTTGGTCAGAGCATACTGTAAATAGCTTTGTGATATTTAAACACTGTGTCTAATTTACTCATTCTGAAAATATGATATGGCTGCACCGTTGTAGCTTCAAAGCTTTGTCGAAGTGCAGAGCTACACTTATCATGGTAATAAATAAATCAGAGATGTCCTATCACAAAGCGTTTTCATGTTGATCTAATTATATTTGCAAATAATTTTATTAAGCACTTAGGATCTGATACTGTCATTCCTACGAACGAATTATCATAACTGCCTGTGGATACTTGATTTTTTATATCACACACTGATTATGGAGCTTACAGTCTTTTATTTTGGAGTCGTGGTTTTGCACAGACGGTTTCAGAGAATTATTGTTCGTCACGAGAAGTTATTTGGAAACTACCTCAACTTTACGGCGTGCAGTGCTCAAGTCTTTATCAACCTCATTCAACAGCTGGCTATATGACAATGTCACGTGTCAGGTGGTCCACAGCGAAAAACTCAGTGAGGCGTTTGAAGTGTATATAAGAGTAAGACAAAGCTGCCTGCCTATTACCATCGATGACATCCCTAACTGTGATGGACTGGATAATGCATCAGACTGTGGGGAGCAAGGAGACAGGAATACTCTGCACCACCGATAATAAGACTCTAGACTATTTGGAGACAAAACTCCAGGTGAACATTCAGCAGACGGAGTTGATGAAGATAACCAACCGACAGTAACAGCAACAACAACCATCATCAATCACCATCAACGGGAGAGATTTGACAGAGGCTACTTCCTGCCATCATTTATCTAGGAAGCACAGTTTCAACTACAGGCTAGCAGAACGGATGGAGATGTCAATGGCAGCCAGCCAATAAGATTTCAAAATACGACTTCATTAACCTGAAACCAGTTTGAAGATCTCTTGTTTCTCTCAGCCAGCATGAAGAACAATATTCGGATTTTAAACAGAAATGTGAAGTCAGCCAGTCAGTGTTTCCATACGGGCTAGAAACTTGCACTGCTTGTCACAAAGAGGATTTCCAGCAACGAGGTGCAGACTTTTATCAACAGCTGACTTCTATTGGCTACATACTGAAGATCCGGCCTGAGTGGATTAGCAACAAGATCCTCTAGCAACAAACCAACCAAGAGCCGATTGCTCAACAAATATGTAGGAGAAAGTGGAGATGGATCAGGCATACGTTGAAGGGGCCGTCAAATGACATCGCGCGCAATTCCGCGCATTGCTGGAGTAGAATCCAAGTGAGAAGCGACATGAAAGAGATCGTGTGAGTTGGAGGAGATGAGAGAGTTTGGGCAATCGTCAACCTAGTTGAAGATGACAGAAGAGAATGGAACAAAGTGGAGATGTGTTGTTGAAACGGTATGTTCCACTTGGAACCTGAGGGAATAATAGTCAGTAATAATAATAATACAAATTTTAGTAGGGCTTTCTAAGTTTAGTGCCACAAAACATACTGAACGAGTGGATTATCTAAGTGACACTTGAAAAGTCCTAAATCACTGCTGAGTGCACAAACCACATTCATAGCTTTATTCATATATATACTAGGTTATTATCGATTATTTCTTTTATTCCCTAGCTTTCTGAGTGGAACATACATCTTCAAGCTTGAGCTTTGAAGTTTTCACGGTAATGGTGTTTTTTGTGTGGTGGGGTTATTATCCTCGCGCCTAATCTTCCTTCTTTACCCTGCTCTTTAAGGATTACTGTTCAGGATTGCGTCGGCCAGGGATCGAACCTCGGACCACGTGTAGTGCAGTTAGCGAGTATCCTACCGCTGAACTACCGACACACGATATAAATATATATATACACTAAGGTTTGTGTGTTAATATGCTACTACCGCATTTTATGTCAGCTTGGTCGCTACCGCTAACGTAAAAAAGGCCAATCATATAAATATGTATATATATATATATGTATTGTTCAAGAAAATATTCCTAAGTCTGACTGATTAGTTGTTCACCGGATTCGCTTAATGAATACCTCAAATTATTAACATTTAAGTAAGATATGTAATTATATTTTATGTCTGGTCTTTATCTCTAATTTGTTAGCTAGACGGACTGTTTTTTTTTAATGCTAGTGTATCGATAAAGGTCACCATCATAATGGCAGCGGCTTAAACAAATTAAAACTACAATACACCCTTTGAAATAATATTTTTGTTTGCAAGTCCATGAAATTCAAAGTTCAGTATTTGCATTGGAAGGAATAAGCTGAATTAACCTACAAGTTATTTTTTCAAATGAAATTTATTCGTTTGTTTTGTAGAAAGCCAAACAGTCTGTATTACTGACATGTATCAAGAGTTTGAAATCACTCTAAAAACACTTATTGGTATTGTCTATTCCGATTATGACGCTTTGATTGTTCCTAGTACATTCTTACAACCAGCTTAACCCTTGGGAATCTTTTCTTGTTCTTTGATGCTTACTGCCTCAATACTCTTACTCAATTTACCACAGAGTTTCATGCTCACAGGCTCTCTAGCGACTGGCCCTATTCAGGCGGTTAACCTGGGGTTCTAGTGGGAAGCCGTGACCAGTAGGGTGCAGCAGGTTGAAGGGGAAGCAGTAACTCTTCAAAGAAGACATTGCGAAGTGGTCGCACTATGTTGTGAGCTGGTCATTGGATCAGGTCCCAGTGGCTTAATGGTCTACGAGGTCGCTAGCCTTGTAATCAGAAGATCCTGGGTTCGACCCCTGGCAGTGGGTGCGTACTGATGAAGAGTCCCAAACTAGGCTGACGAAACAGCTGTCCAGTACTCCCAGGTGGTTTTCCAATGGTTCTCTAACTGATGTCAGCTCATGATGAAATCCTCCAACTTACCACATAGTTCTCGATCTGTTCATTTTAACTTTAGAAAACCAGGACAAGTGATTCAGCGAAGACTCTCTTTTCAGCGAATTTATCATGAAGTTGTACAATCGTATAGTATTTATTTACTTCATTCTCATTCCAAGTGGAATATAGGGATTCAGGCTTCAAAGTTCAGTAGCAGAGATATTGTCCTTTAAACGGTGGCGTTGCTAGACTCACTCCCTACCTTCCTCCTCTACCAGCGTACTACTAGCTCAGTGGCAGACAGGAGTGAGTCGGTTAGGAATCCAACCCAGGATCACGCACGTGGTGTCGTATATACAAATAAATATATATGATGTGAATTGTGACAAATATAATTGCTTTTGTATAAAGTAGTTCGGGGAATGTATAGATCTCAGAGAGATATAGAAACAATAAGACTAGTAAGGAATTAAAACATTACGCAACGAGGTGATAATCATCGTTAAACAACATTGCGAAAATTTGCTGATTAAATAATAATAAATGTGACAACCTAGATAATACAGTAAATTGTTGAAGTTGAAATTATTAATAACAGTCAACATAATAAGAGAAGGATGAGCATATTGAACAAACGAAACAAAAAATAAGTGGGACTAGATTATGAATGGGGATTATCATACTTTAGCATAGACGGATCAAGACCATGAGAGTTGGAAGGAGTGAACAAACTTTTTCTCAATACAAACATCTGGCTTTTCTATTTCGATGACGAAAGCCTCAGCAATACAGATAAGCAGGATACGTGATGATTTGGGCAGATTATTATTCGCCTTGTAGATAACTTTAACGGAAGAGACTGTGGAGATAAGGTGACCAGTATCGACCAGATGTTCAGTGATTGCACTTTTAACAGCCCCACTCTCACCTCTTCGTTACCACGGGGAATAGTGTCCTTTCATCCTGTTGGACTAAACCTGACTCGAACTGCCAATAGGCCTAGCTTCACAGGAGCAGGTATATTGTATCGCGAACAGTTTTAGTAAATGTACCACATTAATCAGCTTGGTCATCTAGCCTAACTTTGACTTCGAGTTATTTATAATATGAAAGCGACAATAATTCTATCTTCTACGACAGCCACATACGTCTTGTGAAATCTCGAGATATCAACATTTCATTTCTTATATGATTTTGCTTCTACCAAAATCAACAGATTTAAAGTCTCTCAGAATGAATCTCCGGTATATTTTCCATTAGTTTCAGAAGATGATTGTATTAACTAAATAAATAAATTAATAACTAGCTAACTAACCGACTATAATACTAATATAATAAAGGCTTTAGTACTTCTCAATCAAATACAATATATTGGTTTATTCGTTACTTAATGCTAATAGCTTATCAAAGTATTATTATTATTAACTAGCTAACTAACTAACTAAATAAATAACTAGCTAACAGTTGACTTTCTAGCTGACTAACTGACTAACTAACTGGGTATAGGAAACTTTAGAGTTCTAGTCATCTGCTTTTGTCTTAAAGTATAATGTAATATTTTCATATCCATTTACTGATAGATGTTACTTTTAATTCTATAATAATAATAACAAGTTCACCAACCAGCAATAGTTAGCGAAATCATCAGTGGAACCCGCTATGTCAACGTCAAGTGGATACTCATTGAAAGCATTCGTGAGGGTAACACTGTATCATGAGTTGATAAAGTTGCAATTCAGGCGTCATTAAACCCCAGCCTAAGTGTCTTATTGGTCAACGATCTTGGACTTGTAATCTGGAAGTTTCAGGTTCGATCTCTGGCTTAGTCGTGGTGGATTCGTACCGAGGAAGAGTCCCGAAATAGGACAGAGCAGCTGGCTGTCCAGTTCTCTAACTGAGATTTGCTTACTGATGCCACCTAACTATTGAAATTAATCTGAAATTTCAAAATATCCTATAGTCTTAATAATAACAATCGCTTTTATTTTGATAACGAATTATCATCTTTCATTATTCGTTATATTCAGAAAACTGAAGCCTTTCGAAGATTTATGCGCAACTATTCACTCCTACTCGGTGTACCAGAATCTTCACAGGACAAAATTGATGCCATCTATGAATTTGAAAAAAAGATAGCAGTGGTAAGTATTTCAATAATGCTTCTTTTATATCAAAAATGTTAAATTATTAACTAACTTTTTTTCCTGTTTCATACAATCTTAATTTGTTGGGATTTGATTGGTTACAGGCGTCTAATCACAGGCTGACATCAATCACAGAAACACTGAAAAGCCGGGAAGTATTTAATGGAAATCTATCTCATCGTAGATTCGACTACTCAGTATTACTCACCAAACTGAGGACAAAACCTAGGAACTTCCGGTTAGTGGGCGGGCACGTTGATCATTCAGTTACTGGGATCCGATCCACTAGCCTGTGAATTACAACTTCTGCGAATTAGCGACATATATATACATACAGCACAATCAGCAATCTTTGTCATCGGAGGGTTCTCTATTACCTGACTTAGTGGACCCTGGTTCTTTGTTTCAAAACAGTTCTCAGCTATTATGTGATAGCCATAGTGAGCACTGATCATGTTTCGGTGAAATAGAAATAAACTGTTACGGCATTACCTAATTGAAAGCTATACTTCTGAAAGTAATTCACAGGATATTACCCAGTGATTGAAGTCGTTAGAGATGAGTGTTTTCAATCTGTTCACATGGTCATATTCGTAAAACAAAGTGCTGTCAAGGAGGAGGGTTAATTTCATTTCTGCGGCATGTTATAGATGATATTGAACTTAAGAGTGCATTTTTCTTTGGTTACAAGATTTCATCATGAGCTGACATCAGTTAGGGAACCATTGGAAACCTGCAGGGATTACTGGATAGCCATTTCGTCCTAGTTGGGGACTCTCCATCAGTACGTACCTCCCAACAGGTGTTTGAACCCGGGGCCTTCTGGTTACAAGGCGAGCTAGCTCGTAGACCATTAATTCACTGGGACCTGATCCAATAGTCAGCCCATGAATTCTTACTTCTGCCAATTCATGACATAGCCCGACCACTTCGTAATGTCTTCTTCGATGAGTTACTGGCTCACCTTTAATCCTTTGTACCCTACTTGTGCGCGCTGATGAAGAGTCCAAAACAAGGACGAAACAGCTATCCAGTACTCCAATTTTGGTTTTCCAGTGGTTCTCTAACTGATGTCAGCTCATGATGAAAACCTGCAGCCATTACATACATCGATAAACATCGATATAAAATGAAAGCGAAAAAATCAATAATTAATATTTGTGAATACTACAAACGCATAAATTACATGATAACATTTGTACCTCACAAAAAAGAACTGAAACTGAGCGTAACATAAATTAACAGCATTAAGTGTATTCTATTCACTAACTTACATTGATATTATTTGTTTTACTGATAACAGTTAAAAAGTCAGTACTACCTGTGTGATACACGAATTGTATAAGTAAATCTTAAGTGTAGAACAGATAACCTGTATTAAATTACCGAATTCACATATTCCACTTCTCTTTTCTTTTCTTTTTCTTTTTTTTTCCTGTCTATTGATTCCAACAGAGAACTGAAGAACGTGGTGAAAGAGATCCAGAGAAAAATTATGAACTTGTTACACTGCAGAATTTATCATCTTTCTGTCCAGTGGTTAGTCTTAGACTTTATTTTTGCCTTTTATTTTGCTTTCCTAAGTGAATACACTCGTAATTAATCATTTTTAAGGCGGAAAACAATTTTGAATGGATGCGTTTCTTTTGCAATCGATTTTGTGTTCTGTATGCACTTCGAAAGTGAAAAAAAACAGAAGAAGAATAAGGAAAAGATAAGGAGCGTGCAACCATTTTCCGTCCGTTTTGCCTTTAAAGTTGAATGATTAAGAAACTTCTGTGGGTTTTTATAAAACATTATTTAGTGGGCATTTTATCATACATTGAAATTATCCTAAGAAATATATGAAAAGTAGTCAAGGTTAGCTGTTGCGCTGGTGAGCAGCGAGCAATGAAGAATGTACATAGGATCTAACACACAGAACCATGAAACTTCCCAAATTAAACACTATCTATAACGATAAAAACCGATTTCGTGTCGTCTGAACTCAGGAAACCGATCATTGCGTTCTACTGTATAGCTAATAAAAACTTCCTTGAGTTCCTCACAGTCACAAAATGCTTCAACAACAGCGAAAAGAAAGCTATTTGAAATAAAATCTTCGGTACTGTTTAGCAATAATTACATATCACATAGTCAAGATCACCTCAACAATGGCGTTAGGCAACTATACAGATCAGATAATTTTCCCCTTGCAAAACAAGTACTCTAGAATAAAATTAGTTAACCCAAGTTCAGCTTTGAGAAGTACCTCAGAGCCAAGTGGAATATGCCCAACAAAGTGGGTTCAAAACTCTATCCACAAGAATCACACACCATCACTTTCCGTTTACAGTCCAAGGTGAGAATGACCCATTTTGAGTCATCTGAGTCTTCAAACCTTTAGCGTCTGAATAACCCTAGCTAGACAACTTATGCGTTGGTGGCACAGCGGTTAGGACGCTTGCCGACCATGCACATGATCCGGGGCTCGATTCACGGCCTACGCACTTCTTTACCTCGCTAAGCCAGTAATAAAGCTGGTAAAGAGGAGAGGTTGGGCATGAAGCCAGCAACCCCATCCTGTAAAAAATAAACACTGCCACAGAAACTTCAAGCCCCTAGAATGAAGCCCTATTTTCCACTGGGAACGTTAGGGGGTAAAAAAGACAACTTATACCTCCCTGTTTAATTTAAAGTGTCTGTCGATGTCCTCATAGTTTTAGCATGGTCACACTGGGATTTTTTCTAACCACACAATACCTCAAATGTGATGACTAGAGACGAAGGTTTAGTTAGACGGTTGAAGGCAATAGATGGCAGGTCTTCGATCAAGATTTCATGCTTGTTGGCAGTGACCAGTCATCAAGGAGTATTTGAAATCGTAAGGGAACCAATGCCTCTCCCGAGATTCGAACCCATATCACTAAGTGCTACAGTTGGAGACGTTACTACTGAGCTATTAGGGCTTACGATTGATCTCCCCTAGGTTTGTAATGGGTGTTTTGATTACACACTTGGCGGTAATTACTGTCATGAGTGTAGGTCTCGGTGTTGGTGTGCGTTCCAATCTTTGAGGGGATAAGAGTTCCTTCAAGATATGTTTTGCCGACTGGTGAGTGCTAATAAGCACGAAACCTAGGTCGAAGTCCTCCTGATGATTGTCTCCAACCATCTAATGACAGCATGTTAGATTGTCCTGCGATGGAGAGGCTGATAGTATTCACTCTGCACCAAAGAGTCGAAGAATAAGATGAATGATACTAGTTACTTAATACCTAGTGTTTATTCAAAAATCACTGGTTTAATGTCTTCGGATGCTACCATTAATTGAATGGCATTATCATGAAATTAAAGAAAACAGTAAGTGGTCACAATATTTCCGAAACTTCTTAAGGCATAGCTGATGATTAATTATTGATGGATTGATTTTGAACTTCAGTTTTTATGTTTGGTCTACGCATTTCAACATACACTTGAAATGTAGAGTTTAAATCTACAAACGGGCTGTGAGATAAATAAATGTGAACAGAGAAATTCCATCCACCTTCTAGTGGGAAGTAAGGGTGTGATTTCCGGCCAATACTCGCCTAAACCTCTCCTAGCAAGTAGAAGGTTCAGAAAAAGGGGGGGTTGGGTATAAGACTAGCAGATTTACTCAGTAAAAAATTCCACCAACGCTACTGAAGCTTCAAAGCTGGAACTTATGTACGTTTCCCTCGGAACTCAAAAATATGAAGAAAAAACACTTCACACAGTATACACATCCCATTTAAACCTATGGTCAACTACATTAACAGAGCAATTAAAAACTTAATAGAATAGAGAACAGAACATCACTGAAGAATTGACCTGACTTGCTGTGGAGCTGAAGCCTTTTTCTCTTTTAAACTTAGCTAAGACCTTGATTTATCTTGTCACAACTTTTTATTCATTTGCGTTCCTAGAAGAACATATGGCTTCAAGCTTCAGCTTTGGAACTTTAGTAATAGTGGCGTTATTCTTTCTCTACTAGATAGGTATGCTAATCTCACGCCCACACTCCCGTCTTTTCCTGGCCTAATACCGTCTAGGCAAGGTTTAACAGTGCGTCAGTCGGCCGGAGGTCGGGTCCCAGACCATGTGAGGCATGGTTGCCACTGACTCATGCTTCATGCTAATTTAAATATTGCCTTTCTATCTGATATTCTTTAAATATATATTAAATTCTTTTCTTCTTCTTATTTTAACTAACTTTATTTTACAGCTTAACTGGACTAGATTATTTAATCATATATACAAACCATTGAATTATACAATTTCACAAAATCAAGTGATTGCATTATACGAAGCTTCATTTTTACGACTTAGATGTGCGCTATATAAAGAATACTTATCAACAGAAGAAGGCATTAAGTATGTTTGATAGTTGTTGTGTTTGTTTTTGTTTTTCAAAGAAAACACTCTATTTTTTTAACATTTGAATTTTTGTTATTCTTTTATTTAGAAGAATGACTGCTGAACAAAGAATATCCCTTTCGATAACTTCTCCTTCAAATTCAATAGTTTTACGTTCAGAATAATTAAAGGTTTATCGTTAATAGCAACATTAAATTAAATAAAATCAGTAATGTCAACAATAAGAAATAACATGCATCAGCATAGCACTATAGTGAACATCAGTTAAATTAAGGAAAGCAACACTAAGTTTGTAAATTTATATATTCGACAGTAGGCCAGGGTAGGAATAGTAGCCGAAGCTGCCTATTTTGCACACACAGTTGTGGTTGTTTTTGGTGAATTCCAGTACCACCTGATGTTTGGAGTGTTCGATGTCTACAGATCCTTGGTAATTTATTTGTTATCCGATGGATGTTAGGGAAACACTCTCCAAAAGCCTGTGTTAGACAAGGTAATGTAATACAGAACTGTTGACGGTTTAAACAACACCTTTATTTAACCACCCAGAGCACGAAAAATTTAGTTCCAAGAGCAATGGCCAATATAACTAGCTGAAAAGAGTAGTTGAATTGGTAGATACAATTAGTGGTGGCTAGTCAAGGTAGGTGCTTTATCTTTCAGTTGAGGAATAAGAGTAGGTTGTGTGGGAAATATGCGCTGTGGCTTACCTGCATTAAACTTTCTTTGAACCGATTTCCTCAACCTGTTGGTTATTATTTCACTTGGTATATCACTAGCTTTAAGCTTCGAAGTTTTAGTGGTAGCGGTGTTATTTTTATAGGAACAAACAGTTCAATGAAGAGTCTGTTTCTAGAGAATTCATTCTTCACATAGCTGTACAGTCTCATTTTTATATGTTATTTCTGTTTGCGTGTATACATCAGGTTTGTCAGACAAAAACAAAATTTATTGTTATTGTTAACGTCGTCAAAATATTTCAAAAAATATGTAATCAATAGTCAAACTTGTAACCACAGAGTAGGGGGGGCAGGTTGAGGATTAGTAGGTTTAGACTAGGATTAGGTGATACTGAAAACATCCAGGAAATGTTGGATGTTAATAAATTATGGTTTTCCATCCGAATCGCCAGGTCCTCGACAATCTGAAGTATACAGAAGCTTACCGTTTTCGGGAGTCTTCTTTTGATTTTGTAGATGCCTTTGAATGAATTCCCCTTGTATACTGAGTAGCCAGTATTGAATATATGTTGTATTATATTATTCTGTTTCTATCCCCTGTTACTATTTTGTATCCTTTTCTCTTGGATAAAACACGCATCGAAAGACCTTTATATCCAGCTCCATAGGAACAACTGAATTGGTAGATACACATAGAAGTGGTTAAACGTGATAGTTTGTCTTTAGAGTTTTTGAAGAACAGTGAGAGGCTTGAGAATACCAGGCGTAATGTAGCAGCAGAGAATATTATTTTCAGAGCGTTTGGTATTCTCTTCTTTAGGGTGTAGACCAGAAGGTAACCTTTGAATGATATATTCATTTATGGCATCTTCTTCGACACAGAGATGGGGTGTTCTTCTTCGGTTTCGGGCCTTATGTGTTTATCTATAAAGCGTGAGGTACAGCCATTCTTAGGTAGTGTCTTCCTCAAAAGAGTGATCTCTTATATTGATTCAGGGCTGCAAATTCTTCGAATTCTAGTTGCAAGAGATATCATCAGATTATGCTTGCGACTGATGGGTACCCAACCGTAGAAGTTTGTTAACTTGCCGTTCCATGTAGGACTTCTCTATGCTGATCTGTTCAAAGTCCCATCAGTCTTCTTTGTTAGTCGAACGTACAGAAAGGAGATTGTCTGTTCAGCTTGTACTTCGGTCTTAAATTTGATGTCTGGGTGGAAACTATTGAAAACTTGTGGGACTCTGTTTACGTCACGGCCGTTACCACAACTGATAAAGGTATCATTAGCATAACTTCAATGCAGAACGAAGCTAACGATGATCGATTTCAACTGACCATTTTCCACACTTGGCATGTAAATATCTGCAGGTACCCCTAGCCACATCATCTTGCTGTCTGTAAATAATACCATCGAATGTGCATTAGACATTCAAAGTGCATCCAAAAAGAAGTTCTTTGAACTTAGATGTTGGTATTCCAATATTCAAATCACTATCTTTCAAGTACTTGCATAGGAGACAAATCGTCTCCGTAATCGAGACATTTGTGAAAAGAGATTCGACATCGAGTGATATCATGCATTTAATGCCCTACTTTCACACCTTTAATACAGTTGACAAATCCAAACGTGTCCCGAAGACAGTATTTTGAGATTTCTTCTCTGACCGGCCTTAGGAGTCCTTCCAGCCAATTTGCCAATAGATAATGGCTTGGAAATCCAGGCTAGAGTTGCTGGCCTCACGTCTAACCTTCTCTTAGTTTCTTGACTTACTCTTGATTTGGTAAGGTTTAGGAATGAGTTTACCGGGACTTGGACCCGGACTACCCGCGTAACTGAAATGTATTCTACTTGCAACTGCATCATCAACACGCATCACACTTATTTAGAAAAAGCATCATTGTGTTTCTTGTTGCCTGTCGACTTCCAGAGAATAAATCATTCATAATGATAAAGTAGAATTAAAACCAACACATATGACCTTTCTCCAGATGTGACAATGCATCAAAATGGTGCTGAAAGGAAAATAAACCTGTGGATTGCTCATTATTTAAACAATATATATATTAATCAGCTTTTTGTAATATCTTATTTCAGAACTTTACACAATGCTCTGGTATGGAGTTTCATTTGGAAGACATCACCACGTATGCCGAAGAAAGTCAGTGAAATGTTAGAAGAATATAGGGAAGCAGAATTAGGTAAATACAAAAATTCATGAATTACTTACTTTTATTTTTCTGTGTAAAAATGTATATCTAAATTCATTTCTGTGCCCTGTTTACAAATATGAAAGATATTACCACTGAATTCATAATCTTTACTAGGTAACTTTGCATGATGCTTGGCTTGCATTGTTCTATTTACAGGGATGTCAACCGCCGAAATTGGTAATTCCCATAATTCGGCCATGGTACATTTTGATATATACACTGGTGACCCATCAATATTGATTTTTCGCACCTACATGATTATTTATTTTTCGCACCTGCATCATTGAATTACTGAATTTCCATTGGTTGTTAATATTTTTTAAATGTGACATTGATTTTCCTAACTGTATAAATACGGAGTTTTGTTAAACATTTTCGACTGTTGTAGAGACAGTAAAAGCTCTCGTATCAACGTCCAGTCTTCCTTCTTTGTCTTGCGTGCCCGGCGGTATTGTTGTTCTTGTTGACGTGTGATTAGGATAGATTAGCCAGCGCATTAAGTTAGATTCGCTCGTAGTCTACAAGGTCATAATATTCATACATAACACATTTTCTGAATTGCTTTCAAGGAGGTTAACACAGAGGAAACCAGCTGCTTGAGCAGCTTTGAGCTCGTTTTCTGGTTGGCTTCAACTAAAAATAATGCTCACGACTGTTGTGTGGCCATCTCTATCCTGCTAGGAATGAGCTTTGACTAAAATATCTGTTGACTTGTAAGCCTGGTCTACCTTATCTGATGACCAGGCTTCCCTTAACACCGCTCCAACTAGTGAATGGAGAATATGGCTGTCCAGTGGTATATCTATTTATGGTAGTACAAAGAAAGTATGGGTATACACAATCACACAAAAACGTAGCAACCCCTCTCCTGTCCCTTGAAAATCCAAATTGTCCGCGGTATGATTCAGTCAACACAAATAAACAAACTGATTATTGAAGGCAGAATGGTTGAGGCTCAATTGAACTGACGAATTTCTTTGATCCCCTAAGAGACCACACACTCCTCTAAGAGCATTCAAATCTATTTTATTACCCATCAATCCTTATCTTAGCTTCAAAATTTTGCAGATTCGTAGCCAGAAAATTCATTTATTTCTTTGGTTACAGGATTTCATTATGAGCTGACATTGATTAGAGAACCATTGGAAAACCTGGGAGTACTGGACAGCTGTTTCGTTATAGTTTGGGACTCTTCATCAGTACGCACCCACCGGGGTTCAAACCCAGTACCTTCTAGTTACAAGGCGAGCTAGCTCGTAGACCATTAAGCCACTGGGACCCGATCCAATGGTCCATGAATTTATTTATTTCTGTTGAATTGTAAAATCCCGCCTCTTAGATTTTTTCTTCATAGCTTCAGTCGACAGGTGTCAGTCACTTGTTCCGTGAAATTCGCTGTACATCCAGATTAATTGAGCATTTTTTAGAAAATCTCCCCGAAAAGATCTTATCCAATGGTTGTTGTTTCTAGAATCCATAATGAATAATTGATTTTGAGAAAGTGCACCTTTTCTGTACAACTTTTAGTTATTTTCTTTGTGTGCAGCTGACATGAAACTGCCAGTTAGACGCTTCAAAAACTGTTTTAGGTTTTTATTATCAGAGAAGCTCTAGTTGTCCTGTTTCCATATTTTGTGAAGGGAAGAATTCAATGCAATCTTCTGTTCATATTTTGCTAAATTTATTAACAAGCCAGTCATGGACTGTTAGTTCAAGTGATCTGTTTTAAATAAGCTTCACTAATGATGATTAATTTGATAACAACAGATTAGTAATCTTTGTTCAGATGGTTGGAGGCAATCACTAGGAGACCTTCGACCTAGGTTTCGTGCTTGTCAGCCCTCAAAAGTCAGCGAGACGAAACTGCAGTCTTGGAGGATTCCATGTCCATCCTGAGATTCAAATCCGTGCCACCTACCCAGTGTGGTAATCAGAGACGTTGCCATTGAGCTATTCAGACTCGCAATTTACCTCCATTAAGGGTGTAATGCATACTTTGTTTGGACACTAAGTAGTGACTATCGCCATGCATCTAGTCCTTCGACTTTTTGGTACAGGCTGAATTCTATCAGCCAAGTTTGTGATGTGTTTGCCATGCTGGGTGCACTCTGAATTACTGTCAGATTGCCTCCAACCATCTGACATTCAAGTATGGAAATGATCTATTTCAGCGTGTAGTTTTTTTGCAACACATTTGTTCAAAATGCCTATAATCTATGACTTTATCAAATCGAGTTTAATGCATACTTTTATTCATTTCATTTTTTTCAAACTATTAAAATAGGATTAAAAGTTGATCCAGATCGCTGGCAAACGTGTGTCACAGAAGTACAATCACCATTTGCATTAGTAATTGGTAGACACTTTGTTCAGGAAAGATTCAATCAGAAAAGCAAAGAAGCTGTGAGTCCCTAATGTTACAGATTATCCATATGCTTTTTTAGTAGGATAGACGTTAGGGATTTTTTTACTTAGCAGCTGTAAGCATCATATTATCTTTAAACTATTGAATGATTAATTTGCAAACTACTTCAACACTAAGGAGCGCAATACCCCAAATCTTCATAAAGCTAATTCAACAGCTAACTGGCAGTAACACATGTCCACTGATTCACAGAGGAAACCTCAGTGAAGTGAATACAAGACTAAGACAAGACTGCTTACTATCACCTATGATACTCCTAACTGTGGTGGACTGAATCTCGCAGAAGAGAGAACAGGAATACGTTGGACCAATAAGAAGACTATTGAAGCTCTGAACTTCGTGAACGATTTAGTTTTAGTATCACAAAAGTCAACAGGCGAAAATGAACGAGTTGGCAGAAGAGGTAGGCAGCGAAGAAAAGACTTCAAATGAATGAAGAGAAGATGGAGCTGGTGAAGACATCCCACAACCAACCAACAACAAAGACAAGCACCAACCACCATCAACAGGAAAAATTTAAAGGAAGTCGCTTCTTCCGCTAATCTAGGTAGAATCGTTTCAACTACAGGCGGACGACACGGATGAGGATGTCAAAGGCAGTCGAGATCGGAAAGACATTCATCACTATGAAATCAGTTTGAAAATCTCCTGCACTCAGCATAAAGAATAAAACTAGGATTTTTAACCACAAATGTCAAGTCAGTCCTTCTGTATGAGTCACCAACTTGGAGCGTCACGTAAAGCATTTCCACCAGGTTGATGACTCTTATTAACAGCTGCCTTCAGTGGTTCCATACCGAAGACCAGATGGTCATGCAGAAAAGATTAGCAATAGGAGACTCTGGGAACGAACGAACGTATTAAAAAGTCATTGCTCGACAAATATTCTGAAGGAAATGAAGATGAATCGGACACATAATGAAGAGACCATTGGGTGACAAAGCGTGTCAAGCCAACACTCAAGTAGAACCCGAATAGGAAACGACAAGCTGGGCGTGTGTCTTTGGGTGACATGGAGGATTTCACATGAGGGGTAGATGGGAAAATATAGGGAACCATGGGGCCTGATAAAAAAGACTCCAGAGAACGGGATAAAATGGAGACATGTTGCAGATGCTCTGTGTTGTTCCAGTCGGAACCCAAGGGAACAATAATAATAGTAGTTATATAATAAGCAACTTCAATGAAAATATTCGTAATAATCTACAAATCTTATTTGATATTTCACGTAACTTCCAGCACTCTGTTTGGTTAACACTCAAATAAAGAAACCTTATTGTCTTGCAATGTTCTATGCAGTGTTAAATTGCTAAGCTTTAACATAATTAACTTAACATAATTACTTTTTAAGTACAAATGTAAAGATTTTCATCATGAGCTGACATTGATTAGAGAACCATTGGAAAACCTGGGAGTACTGGACAGCTGTCTCGTCCTAGTTTGGGATTCTTCAACAGTACTCACCCACCGGGATTCGAACTCAGGACCTTCTGGTTACAAGATGAGCTCGTATATCATTAAGCCACTGGGACCCAATCCAATGGCCCATAAATTCTAACTTCTCCCAATTCACGACATAGCGCGACTCCTAGCCAATGTCTTCAGCAAGTATTTGTCATCACACCCGACCTGCTGCACCCTACTGGTCACGACTTCTCACTAGAACTCCAGGTAACTACCTACCTGAATAGGTCAAGTCGCTAGTGAGCATCTCATTGATATTCAAGTGGCTTAATCGTATAAGAGCTCGCCTTGTAACCAGAAGGTCCTGGATTCGAATCCCGTTGGGTGCGTACTGCTGAAGAGTCTCAAACTAGGATGAAACAGCTGTCCAGTACTCCCAGGTTTTCCAAAGGTTCTCTAACTAATGTCAGCTCATGATGAAAATCCTGTAACCAATCAAATCCCTACAAACGAACACTTGAATACAAATGTAAAGAGTTTGAAAAGATGTGATGAGGAGGATATTACTTGAATTATAACAATAAGTTTACTTAGATAGGCAGTAATATCTTAATACTTTGTTACTAATAGCTAGAAAGTTAATTTCAAGAGAGAATCACACCGACCAAAGGAGATAAGTGGTTTAGCATAAGATCGAAAGTTTCAATGGTTAGGAAGTTAAACTTATCCTCTGTATCAGAATATATATTCAGCCATTATTATTATATGAATTCCAATTCTCCTTTCGGTAGTCATTCAAAACGGCGGCCTGTTTGAATCACTTGCCTACCTGAATTTCCATTCACAGTATGGTGAATAAAATCCTCTTTGGTTTTAATCATTAAGTTGAATCCTTAAGTAGCCAAACATATTCACTCACATTTTCAACTGACTTGTGAATTATAAATCTTCAGAAGTGGAGCCTTAAACAGGTCCTTCGTGAAGTAATTTGGTGGTTGGTGACTAGCAGTGGAATCCAAGAGGCTAATTTTGGCCTATCTGGGACTAGGCATCTGGATGTTCCCACATTCCTCCCTCAGCAAGGGATGGTGTTCCCACTGAGACTCTAACCCAGTACCCACCGTTTCAAATGCCTGAGCGTTATCCAGTAGACCATTTGGGCCGCGTGAGTCACTTCTTGTGCAGGTAGTCCAGTGGATAACGTCCTGGCGTTCCAGTCTCAGTAGGAACACCATCACTCACCGGGGAAGGTTAATCCGGTTGATGAGTCCTATAAAGGACGAAGCCCGTATCCTAGATTCCAGAGCTAGTCACCATACACCAAATGACAACATGTTAATCCTCAGATATCCTTGAAGCGTCCGTTTTAGGAACCGTCAACATATCAATAGAAGCCGAATTTTTCGGCCGAATCAATCAACAGATCAACGGGAAAATCAAAACTGAATTAAAAACGAATAATCAGTCCTCCTCGTATTGAATATTCGACATCCATAGTATTTCTGTTTCATATTATTAAATGAATATTCCCCTTTTATGTTTCATAATTCATTGGTTAATAGTGAATACCATGACTTTGTTTATTAGTAACAAAGTATAAAGATGCTTATTGTCTGACATTTACTTATATTTCTCGACAATAATCTAGGCAACAGAAATGATAACAGAGATAAAGAAGGCCTTTAAAGAGAATTTGGTCAATGTCGATTGGATGCAAGAAGCTGATAAGCACAAGGCAACGGAAAAGGTATGACTTTAAAATTTTAATGGAAGTTATTGCTTATTTTCTTTCAAACAATACAAATGATTAGGTGGACTCAATGAAGGCATCAGTTGGTTATCCACAGAATATTAATAATCTTGCCGATGAAGAGAAGGAATTTTCATACTATGTAAGTTTATAATGATTTTGAGTTGTTAATTGATTTTTTAAATATTTTATTCCTTTGCGTTCCTAGTGGGACATACAGTTTCAAGTTCTGAGCTGTGAAGTTTCAGTAGCAGTGGTGTTCATTTCTTTCACTGGGTGACGTTGCTGTCCTCACCACCAAACTTCCGTTATTAGTGCAATTATTATCGACTAGGCAAAGTTTAGGAGCACGTTGGCTATTGATCGAACACCAGACCCCATTAGATGTGGTTCGTGGGTTACTTTACTGCCCAACCACTGTCTTGAGTCAGTTTTATTATTTTCAAGTTGGCAGGGATGGCATTTGTTTTAACGTTGTTCACACAGTGATGTCAGTTACAGAACCAATGAAAACCACCAGCAGGTAGTGTATGAATAATACTTCGTCCGAGTTTAGGACTCTTCAACAGTATGCACCCATGAAACGATTGGAGAACAGGCTCAAAACCTTAGAGTTACGAGATCAAGCTGATTGGCCATTCAGCGATTTAGGTAGGAATCTAGTAGACCATCAGTTCTAACTCCTGTCAGTTCGCGGTTTTAACGTGACTGCCATCTCTGGTTATTTGACATCACACCAGACCTGATGGATCTCACCCAATACAACTTCTCACTAGCACTCCAGGTAACTTCGTTCTGCAGAAATTGAAATAAAGTCAAATAAGTAAATTGATGGGACTAAGTTGAACTCAACTAAAGTTAAAAACGATGATAATTAGGAGTAGCCATTGACCGAGGATTATCAGGTAAATTTTCAACAATTGGTCTGTCGGGATTTCATTTCTTTTACATTTGACCACATAGTGATGTCAGTTAGAGAACCAATGAAAGCCACCACGGAGTATTTTACGAATGATTTGCTCACGTTTGAGACTCTTAAGCATTATGCACCCATAAGAGATCGAATCCAAGCTTTTTGACTTTTCAGCTACTTGGGCTAGAATTCAGTGGTCTGTGAGTTGTAACCCTGTCAAATCGTGATATAGTGCTACCCTCAAGGGTTCTCGCTTACGAGCCGTTTGGTACTCCCTGCTGATTTCTAACGTCCTCTCTAAATGATGCTAGTTCTTGAACATTTGAAACTGAATAGATATTATCAGCTGACAGCTGTTAGGTTAGACCACGGTTTGATATCAGTTAGAGAACCTTTGGATACCAAGGAGTACGAAACAATTGTTTCATCCCAGTTTGGGACTCTTTGGCAGCATGCAACAACTGAATTACTAACCCGGGACTTTCCGCTTACAAGGCAAGCTTGTAGACCACTCGGCCACTGAGACCCAGTTCAGTGGGTCATGAATTTTAATTTCACCAATTCTTGATTTTAGCGCGATCACCAACTAACGTCATAGGGGGGAACTCTACCCTCACTCCCACTGGTCACGACATCTCACTGGAACTCCTGGCAATTTCGTCCTGTAGCCAGTCACTAGCGAACAGTTGGCACGTACTGTCGATTGGTCCCAAGCTAGGACGAAACAGCTGTCCAGTACTCCCTGGTCTTCAGTGGTTCTCTAACTGATATCAATCAATACAAACCAATTCTTGAGATGTAATAATTAATTCCAGTATATTTCTCACACAAATATTTCCTTTCTTTTTTATTTAGCCTGATATGAATGAATCAACATATTTCGAAAATGCTCTGCATTGCAGTGAAGCTGCCTTCCTTGAGATTTTACGTGAATTAATCGAACAAAATACGGACAGGTGAGAGACAGTGAAAGAGAAAACAAATTTATATCACATATGAGGCTATACAGCATTTTGAGTCATTTTTAACATTATTATTAATTATTATTATTATTTCCCATAGATAGAAAGTTCTTTCCGCAGAGATGTAATTAAAAAGGTGAATATAGTGCTATGCGAGTATATAAATTTTATATATATTATTTTTATATTCCAAAATATCAACTATCTTTTCTCAAATATAAATAAATTTAATATATATTATATAATGAACAGAATTTTCAGCAGAGTTTATTGCATGATAATTTGTCGTCGTCCAAGATCTTCAAATAAAAATGTTTCATTGACAGTAGATCATGTGACACAATTCTATCTGACCTTAAGTACAAACCAATCCATTGTGATATCTCTTCTTTGTCTACAACGGGAAATTTACGATATTTTTTTGAATGCCACTTTCATAAAGTCCAATGGTACATTTGGGGAAGCAAGTACACCACTCAAGAACGGTCATCTCATCTATTGGAGTAAGGTGCCATCGAGGATAATGCTACTTCTCGTGTTTCATAAAAACTCGCGAATCAGAAAGTTGTAAATGTTTTAAATACTCTGCAGAGCAAAAAATACTATTATGGGTCATGTTTCACTATATTTAAGCAGACTGAATAAGAGAAATTGTACGCAATATATTGATGGAGGTTTGATCCGGTAGCTCAAGTTTTAAGCAGACCGCCATTCATATGTGTGACATTTTTTTGAAAGCCAGTTAAAAAAGCGACAGAGATACAACTCAATAACTGAAGGCCTTAGGTAGTTAGTTTTATTTCTCAGACAGTGACAGATTGGGCTAAAAATTTCAGGAAGACTTACCTTATGTATTAGGATACACTGTCACCCATGATTACGTTTCTTCTCAAGTTAAGTAGAAACTTGCGAATGAGCAGGTTGTAGACATTTTAAATATTCACAAGAGTAGAAAACATCATTAGAGGTCATACTTTAATAGATTAAAACAAAGTAAACTAGAGGAACTATATGCAGTTTAATGATTAAGGCTTTTTGTAACTTAAGTTTTAAGCAGGCTGCAGAAGTTACTGTCTATGAACTCAACTTTCTATCCTATACCTCCCAAGGTACTTGTTCAACTAAGACTAGAGATAGAACTGAACGCCAAAAATAATCGTCCAAAATATGAGACATCTATTCTGGGATCAGAAGTATAGAGCTATGATTACTGCTTAACTAGCAAGGGTTCGTGCACAAACAACACGACAGTGTGTCACATCGCGAAGATGCTTGACCAATTTTCCTTCAGTTTAATAGGTTGACTTAACACAAGGAAGATCGGCAAACAGTGATGAGTGAAGGATGTTGCTGAATAGTAACTTTCGCGGGAAATTATTTACCGCTATGGAACCACTTTTCTCCTTTACGTTCCCAGTGGAATATAGGGCTTCAGGCTAGAGGCTTGAAGTTCAGGTAGCAGTGGTGTATATTTTTACAGGATGGGTTGGCTAGCCTCATGCCCAAGCTTCCCGCTTTACCAGTCTTATTACTGACTTAGCGAGGAAAACGAGTGCGTCTGTGGCCGGGGATCGAACCTTGGACCACATACATGGTTGGCGAACACTCTACCACTGTGCCACCGACGCACCACAGTACCATTACTAATCCAAATTAATTTTAATATTCAAGAGTTAGTTTGTGGGGATACGATTTGTTTCAAGTGTCATCACAGATTGACACCAGTCAGAGAACCATTGAAAATCGTCAGGAAGTGCTGGAAAGCAGTTTAATCCCACTTCAGTGCCCACCGACTGTACGAACCTACCGGGGGTCGAACCCTGGACCTTCCGGCTAGAAGGCAATCTCGTGTACCATTCAGCCACTGAGACCCTATCCAATGGGCGATGAATTCTAACTTTTGCGAATTTGTGACTTGTGATCGGCTACCAGCCAGTGTAATTGGCGAGTATTTGTCCTCACACCCAACCTGGAGAACTCCACTGGTCACGACTTCTCATTATAACTTCAGGCAACTTAATCTTGTGACCAGTCACTAGAGAGCCTCAGATTAATATTCAACAGTCAGTTTGTAGGGATTTGATTTTTTCTCAATTTTGATCTCAGAAGTTGCCTGAAGTTTTAGTGAGAAGTCGTGACCAGTGGAGTCCGCCCAGTTGGGTAGTAAGGACAAAAACTCGCCAATGACATTGGCTGGTGCCAGTCACACTGAGATCACGAACTGCTAGAAGTTATAATTCATACGTCATTCAGTTGGGTCCCAGTGGCTAAGTAGTCTACCAGCTCGCCTTGTATCCGGCAGATCCTTAAATTTTAATATTTTTTAAATATTCTAATATCAATATTTTCTACTTGACTCCATCTTCATCGGTTGATTCTGATTTATGGGAATCAATCCTTTTGTCGACGGAGACTGGTAAGTTGTTCATTTCATTAGATATTTTCACATTACTACTTCGCTACTACGGAGTGCCACCGACAATTATACATCTCATCCAACAGCTGTACGACAGTGTTGCATGCCAAGTAATCCACAATAGGAAACTTACGGAACCCTTCGAAGTGAGGACAGGAGTAAGAAAAGGTGGCTGCCTACTATCGCCAATGATTTTCCTGATTGCAGTAGACTGGATAATGCGACAAACAGCGGACAATGAGGAAACAGGCATAAATGGACTCACACAAAAAACTTGGAGGATCTAGACTTCGCCGATGATATATGTCTGATTTCCCAAAAACTGGAAGATATGCAAGCGAAAAGCAACAAGTTGGCAGAAGAAGCATCAAAGATAGGACTTCAGGTGAACATAGAGAAAACAGAGGTGATGAAAATTCCTGGGTAACACCACCAACAGCAACAACAACAACAGACAACAATCAGCATAAATGGGAGGAACCTGAAAGAAACAACCTCCTTTACCGACCTGGGAAGCATCGTTTCAACTACAGGCGGACGGAACTGACGAGGATATCAAAGCAAGAATCGGAAAAGCAAGACAAGCTTTCACTACTCTCAAGTCTGTGTGGAGGTCAACAACACTCACCATCAAAAATAAGATCCGGATTTTCAACTCCAATGTGAAGTCAGTCAGTGCTACTATACGGATCAGAGACTTGCACTGCGCGTCATAAAGAGCATCTCAAACAAACTACAGACCTTCATTAACAGTTGTCTTCGCTCAATACTCAAGATCAGATGGCCAGAAAAGATCAGCAACAGGGATCTCTGGCAGCGAACCAACACAGCAGGAACCGATTGTGAAACAAATATGCAGGAAGAAATGGAGATGGATTGGCCATACTCTGAGGAAACCATCAAGTGACATCACTAGACAAGCCTGCTCGAGTGGAACCCGAAAGGGAAGCAGCGAGTTGGTCGTCCAAGGGTGACTTGGAGGAGGTCATGTGAAGAGGAGATGAAAGCGTGTGGGCAGACTTGGAGCCAGGTGAAGACTCTAGCAGAGAACCGAACGCAATGGAGACGCACGGCTGAAGCCCTATGTTCCTCTAGGAATTAAAGGAAACAATAATATAATAATAATAATAAGGTGGTGAGAAATTAGCTAGTGTACATAGGGGAGTAATTCATTCCTTCATTCCTCCGATTTCGTTTCACAGAGTAGAATTTAGTTCAGTCATGGTGACCGTAATCGTTTATTTATCTGGATTTGAGATCTTAGAAATCATTATTCTCTATAAAGTTTCCATTTAATTAATTCCTTGTGGATAAACACTTTAAAACACATTTTCACACGTCACTCATCAGCTGAGTCATCTGTCATTGTATAGCGATTTTGTGTCGCCATATATTTGTATTGTTCTGTATTCATCAACTGTTTTTCAGCCTGCAACTCAATTTTTGGTGATTCATCTTCGTGCTTCCAATGCAGTTGTTCTTCTTGTTATTATTATTATTATGATATCAAAGGCCGATATTTTCAGAGATAATCAGTGAAATTACCTGTAGTCAAATTTAGCGCCGAACTAATTCTAATAACTGAAGTATATATTGTGTCTGGTTTGAAATCAGATTTGGGAAGATTGACTCTTATTTATGCTTTTGTGTTTAATAAAAGGCAATACAACTAATTGGAAGGTGCAAAGGTGGCATCATCTGTTTTCTGTGCTTGCTGATACGCATCAAAACACTTTGTTTGTAGCTCAAAAGCAGTTGATGTCACCTATAAACGTCCATTTTAAGTAGGTTAGTTATGCAGAAAAACTCTACAACTAGTTCTTCAGAATATGACTCATCTTACCATGTACACGAAGATTTTGCATAAAATGGACTCAAAATTCCAATCATTATAGGAATCTTACTTCTAGTAATTTTACTGAAATGTAAAACAAAAATTTCAGTGGAGAAAATTCTCTTTCCAATGATTTCATTTTCATACCTGTACGATCGTGTTTATGAAGACGAATTACAATACACAATAACAGTTAGTTCTGCTGTGTCTGTGGGTGAAGATGCATCTTAAAGTTCGACATTGAGTGGAAATACTAATGTGGGTTAATACTGGTGTAGATGACTTTGATTAGACAGATGAATGAATAAATAAGGTAACTTAAATATCCCCACAGTTTATTTACAACGACAATAAAAAAATTTGGTGGGTGGTGACTAGCAGTGGAATCCAGGATGCGCATTTCGACCTATTTGGGACTCGTCAGTTGGATGTACCTACATTCCCCACTGAGTGGTGGTGTTCCCACTGAGACTGGAACCCACTACCCATACTTCCAAACGCTCTGGCATTTGGTGGTGTTTCTCAGTGGGAACACAATCACCAACTGGGGAATGCAGGTACATCCGGTTGACGGGTCCTAAATAGGACGAAATGTGCATCCTGGATTCCACTGCTAGTCACCACGCACCAAATTACTTCACGTTAAGTCTTCAGACATTGTTGAGGCACCCTCACAAGGAGCCGATATGTCAACAGAGGTTGAGGAATTCAGTCCAATGAATCAACGGGATAGTCCATACTGAA